ACATATTTTGATATAAAAAATAAAATATCTCGTAAAATATTTAGTTTTCGATAATCTTACCGTAATGCTTTTATGTACAGAATAATGAGACAAATCAATTAGTTTAAAAAAAAACGAATAATTGTTTAATAAATACATTATAAATAATTACATACTTTTTCTTAAAAACAATTATTTTTTTTTTACTAATTGATTTGTCTCATTATTCTGTACATAAAAGTATTACGGTAAGATTATCGAAAACTAAATATTTTACGAGATATTTTAATTTTTATATCAAAATATGTCAGATTAAAATATAAAATAACTCAAAAAGTACTTAATGAAAAAATACTTTATTATAGTGTTTTGAAAAGCTCTCGAGATAAGCTACAAAAATGTGCAATAAAAAGTAGGCAATTCCATTTAAAAAATTAAAGGTGACCTTGCTTTTTTTATGGAAAAAAAATGTTTGGTCAATTTTTATTATTGCAATTTGTTGCCGGTTAGAAACTGATAAATTTCTGTTTATGACTTTTTTATGTCAGATTATTGTAAGTGCCTTAAAAATCGTGGCGACCGTTACGAGAACCACCCTGTATAATATATTAATCGTATGTAATTGGACAACAAACTATTGAGAAAAAAATTGATTCGAATTATGTAATTGTACCCACCAATATGACCGGTCAATATATGTCTGTAAAGTCAGTTTTACAAAAATTATTTGCTTTACCTAATTTCTTACAACAAATTTTAAATTACGTGCAAAGTTTATCAATGGAGAGAGAGTCGAATGGTATCTCAAATAATAATTCAGGCTGAATCATTCAAAAAATTACAAGAAAAATATTCAAACAGAATAATTATTCCTCTTACATATATTTTATTACGATGAATTTGAGGTAAATAATCCACTTGGCTCACAAAGTGGCACTCATAAAATTGGAGCTGTATATTATTCTTTGCCGTGTTTAGTGGGTATGTACGGGATAGGAGATCTATCGCTTTTAGGATACTACCCAACTTCTTACATTCGTAGGTAGATAAATGAATGAGTCAGCTTTTAAACAATAAGTAGGTTTATTTCTTTCATACATAATCAGTAGCGCACGTTGCGATTACACGCATAATAATTATTATTATTGCACCAGGGCTTATTTTTACCCCCGCGTTTCTTCGTCTGGGTCGACGCGTCTGCCGTCCTCTTGAGCCCGGAAAACGGGATCGGACTGGTCTGTGTCCCGAAAGTCCTCTGCCTTGCGTAAGTCTTAATAGGCGAGATTTTTATGGGCGAAATCAGCGGCGGTACTTTCCAAGCTTTCGCTGGAGACGCCAAGATTTGTTCCAGTTGTGGCAAAGAGATAGGCCGGTCCTGCCGGGTTTCCGTGCGGGTATGCCCGGCAATCAGCTTTGGCGGGCTAGCGCCGAATAGAGACTGTAACCGGTCCTTGTCGCCCCACCACCATCCACGACGCCACGGATAAGGAATACCGTTCCGCTACCCACGGTAGCCGAAATCGCCATCCGGCGAAGGACTCGTCCGACGCCACTCCACAAGGTGGTCAAGAAAAGGAAGGTGGAGAAGAGCACGCTAAATACTAGCAGCTCCCGACCATTAGGCGCCAGATCGCCAACCGTCTCCGGCGCCCGGCCGCCATCGGCATTAGGCGCTCGATCGCCATCCGCCTCCGGCGCTCGTCCGCCATCAGTCGGCGCCAAGTCGCCGGCGTCACCCGGCGCTCGTCCGCCATCAGTCGGCGCCAAGTCGCCGGCGTCACCCGGCGCTCGTCCGCCATCAGTCGGCGCCAAGTCGCCGGCGTCACCCGGCGCTCGTCCGCCATCAGTCGGCGCCAAGTCGCCGGCGTCACCCGGCGCTCGTCCGCCATCAGTCGGCGCCAAGTCGCCGGCGTCACCCGGCGCTCGTCCGCCATCAGTCGGCGCCAAGTCGCCGGCGTCACCCGGCGCTCGTCCGCCATCAGTCGGCGCCAAGTCGCCGGCGTCACCCGGCGCTCGTCCGCCATCAGTCGGCGCCAAGTCGCCGGCGTCACCCGGCGCTCGTCCGCCATCAGTCGGCGCCAAGTCGCCGGCGTCACCCGGCGCTCGTCCGCCATCAGTCGGCGCCAAGTCGCCGGCGTCACCCGGCGCTCGTCCGCCATCAGTCGGCGCCAAGTCGCCGGCGTCACCCGGCGCTCGTCCGCCATCAGTCGGCGCCAAGTCGCCGGCGTCACCCGGCGCTCGTCCGCCATCAGTCGGCGCCAAGTCGCCGGCGTCACCCGGCGCTCGTCCGCCATCAGTCGGCGCCAAGTCGCCGGCGTCACCCGGCGCTCGTCCGCCATCAGTCGGCGCCAAGTCGCCGGCGTCACCCGGCGCTCGTCCGCCATCAGTCGGCGCCAAGTCGCCGGCGTCACCCGGCGCTCGTCCGCCATCAGTCGGCGCCAAGTCGCCGGCGTCACCCGGCGCTCGTCCGCCATCAGTCGGCGCCAAGTCGCCGGCGTCACCCGGCGCTCGTCCGCCATCAGTCGGCGCCAAGTCGCCGGCGTCACCCGGCGCTCGTCCGCCATCAGTCGTCGCCCAGTCGCCAGCGTCACCCGGCGCCCGGCCGCCATTAGCGTTAAGCGCCCGATCGCCATCTGCCTCCGGCGCTCGTACGACATCATCAGGCGCCCGGTCGCCGTCTTCCACTGGGACCTGCTCCCCGACGATTGCCGGTACCTGCTCCCCAATCACGGTCAGTGACGGATCACTGTCGCTCATTGGTGCGGATTCACCGGTGGTCTCCGGCCGCTGGCCACCATTCAGTGGCCACTCCAAAGAGAACGCACGCTCCGGCGCCCAGTCAACCAGCGACTCCCACGCAGAGAGGAAACAGCGAAGCAAGGACCGGTTTCAGGCTCTATTCGGCGCTAGCCCGCCAAAGCTGATTGCCGGGCATTCCGGCACGGAAACCAAGAAGCACCGGCCTATTTCCTTGCCGCAACTGGAGCGAATCTTGGCGTCTCCAGCGAAAACGTGGAAAATACCGCCGCTGATTTCGCCCATCAAAATTTCACCTATTAAGGCATACTCAAGGCAGAGGACTTGTGGGACGCAGACTAGTCCGATCCCGTTTCCTGGCCTCAAGAGGACGGCCGACGCGTCGACCCAGACGAAGAGACGCGGGGGCAGACATAAGCCCGTGTGCAATAACAACACTAGTCATTATGCGTACAATCGCAACTTGCGCTACTGATGTATGAGCAGAAATAAATACACTTTATGCTTAAAAGCCGACTCATTCATTTATCTACCTACAAATAAAGTAAGTTGGGTATCCTAAAGCGATAGATCTCCTATCCCGTACCTACCCACATATATTAATTCTTTTTTTATAATCTGTATTACCATGAATGTGATCGTGCAACATATTTTTAAAAAGAAAATTAAATAATAATTTTCTTGTTAAAAATGTGTCGCATGATTACATCCATGTTAATACACATTATTAAAAAAAGATATAAGGGAAAAACAAAATTCGAACCTGTAGTGTAGATCCATTCGTAGTAGTCAATCGCTTTACGCTAGCGACTACAACTGCTAGATCATAAATTATTATTACTAGTTAATACATACACAGAAAATTTAAACTAATTTTTCTCTAAAATAAGATAAAGTAAAATTTTTCTATTTTCATCAAGTATAACTTTTACTTAATATATTTCTCTATCTCGAATTTATAAAGTTTTATTAATTTCTATCTCCTTTAGTTTTTAAATCTTTAAAAATTTTCAGTTATTTTTTAATTATATATTCTCTTAAAATTAATAATTTATTAATAATTACTAAGATTAAATTTTTAATAAATATTATAAATCATTATTTTAATTATATAAAATTATTCTCCCCTAGCTTCACTTTTCATAAATATAAAATTAATAATTAATTCTCCCCTAACTATTTATTTTTTTTATATATTATATTTAAATACATATTAAAATTAATAATTTATTAATAATTACTAAGATTAAATTTTTAATAAATATTATAAATCATTATTTTAATTATATAAAATTATTCTCCCCTAGCTTCACTTTTCATAAATATAAAATTAATAATTAATTCTCCCCTAACTATTTATTTTTTTTATATATTATATTTAAATACATATTAAAATTAATAATTTATTAATAATTACTAAGATTAAATTTTTAATAAATATTATAAATCATTATTTTAATTATATAAAATTATTCTCCCCTAGCTTCACTTTTCATAAATATAAAATTAATAATTAATTCTCCCCTAACTATTTATTTTTTTTATATATTATATTTAAATACATATTAAAATTAATAATTTATTAATAATTACTAAGATTAAATTTTTAATAAATATTATAAATCATTATTTTAATTATATAAAATTATTCTCCCCTAGCTTCACTTTTCATAAATATAAAATTAATAATTAATTCTCCCCTAACTATTTATTTTTTTTATATATTATATTTAAATACATATTAAAATTAATAATTTATTAATAATTACTAAGATTAAATTTTTAATAAATATTATAAATCATTATTTTAATTATATAAAATTATTCTCCCCTAGCTTCACTTTTCATAAATATAAAATTAATAATTAATTCTCCCCTAACTATTTATTTTTTTTATATATTATATTTAAATACATATTAAAATTAATAATTTATTAATAATTACTAAGATTAAATTTTTAATAAATATTATAAATCATTATTTTAATTATATAAAATTATTCTCCCCTAGCTTCACTTTTCATAAATATAAAATTAATAATTAATTCTCCCCTAACTATTTATTTTTTTTATATATTATATTTAAATACATATTAAAATTAATAATTTATTAATAATTACTAAGATTAAATTTTTAATAAATATTATAAATCATTATTTTAATTATATAAAATTATTCTCCCCTAGCTTCACTTTTCATAAATATAAAATTAATAATTAATTCTCCCCTAACTATTTATTTTTTTTATATATTATATTTAAATACATATTAAAATTAATAATTTATTAATAATTACTAAGATTAAATTTTTAATAAATATTATAAATCATTATTTTAATTATATAAAATTATTCTCCCCTAGCTTCACTTTTCATAAATATAAAATTAATAATTAATTCTCCCCTAACTATTTATTTTTTTTATATATTATATTTAAATACATATTAAAATTAATAATTTATTAATAATTACTAAGATTAAATTTTTAATAAATATTATAAATCATTATATAAAATAATATATTATATTTTATTAAATAATTAAAATATTTAATCTAATGATAATTATTTTAATAATGGCTATCAATTTTTATATATTAATACCGTATATATTAATTTCATTAATGATTATTAAATACAGTTTCTTAAATATTAATAATTTTTATATATTCTTTTTCTTTTTCTTATTTTTAAGATTTTAATAATATACATTATAATTAAAGTAATATAATACTAATGATAGATAATAAATAATTAAATTAATATAATATTTTAATATTAATAAAATATTTATATTTTTTATATAAAATTATAAAATATATTATTTAATTATAAATATATATATATATAATATATCTAATGTATATTTTTTTTTACTTTCCATTTTTAGACAAAAAGACCCCAAAATCTTCATTTTTATTTATTTTTTTCCAATTTTTTAAATATACCAATACTTTTTAAATAATAATTAAATTAGATATATTATTTATAAATATTTTGAATAAAATTTTTTATTATATTATTTATATTTTTATTATACATACATATATTATATTTTATTTTTTTTATTACTCTATTAATGTATTCTCCCTCATACATCAACTTCAAGAGTAAAACTTTTTACCTACTATATGCTACCCTCTACTCTGTAGATGTATACTACCTTATATGTATAATTTTAACTTTACTATTTAGTTATATAATATTAAATTTATTAAATTAAATTAAATTATTAAAATATTTAAAAAAATAAAAATTATAATTAATTAATTATTATATACTGTAAAATAAGTAAGCTAAATATTATAAGCTTTTAGGTTCATACCCTAAATATAGATTAATTTCTCTTATTTTTATTTTTTATATTTTCATTAACGTTCTATAAATGATATGCCTGAAAAAGGATTATTTTGATAGAATAAATTATATATTTTTTTTAAAATATTTTCATTATAAATAAATTTAAAATTATATTTAATAGAATTAAACTATTACAAAAAATTTCAAAAATTATTATGCCTCTTTACATTAAAATATATTAAAAATAAATAATTTTTAATTAAATAAATATATTTTTATTATAATTAATTTTTTAAATTATTAATTTTTTATATTTATTTCATTATTTCTTTTAATATATTTAATAAATTTTTTATTATTTGAAACTTAATTAATTTTGCTCTTATTCCTTTATTCTTTTATGATTTATTTTTAATATGATTTTTCATAGAAATTAATAACTTTTTATTTATCTGTTATTTATGTATAAAATTAACCAATAAAAAAATTATTTTTTTATATTATATTATCCAAGTAATTGCATCTCTAATATTAATTTTTTCATTAATTACTAATATATTTTTTTTTTATAATTATAGGTTTTTTAGTTTAAATTTTTTAATTGCAATAATATTAAAATTAGGGATCCCCCCATTTCATTTATGAATACCACTAATTTCTTTATATATGTCATGAGATACTTTATTTATTTTATTAACTATTCAAAAAATTATTCCTTTTTATATATTATCAATTATTGAAATAAATATTATATTTATATACTTTATAATTCTTTCATCTTCTTTCATCTCTACTTTCAAAATAATTAATCTACTTAATTTTAAAATATTACTAACATACTCTTCAATTAATCAAACTAGATGAATATTAATATTAATTTTTTTAAAAAACTTATTTTGATTAATTTATATACTTATTTACAGATTAATTTTATTTATTATTTGCATATTTTTTTATTATTTTAATATATCATCTAATTTTTTTTTTAATAATTTTTCTTCTTTAAACTTAAACTTAATTTGTTTAATGCTTTCATTTAACTTAGCAAGAGTTCCCCCTTTATCATTTTTTTTTATAAAATGAATAAGAATTTTTATTTTTATCCTAAATTCAAATTTACATTTAATTTTTATTTTAATAATAATTAATTCTTTTATTTTAATCTATATTTATATTAATTTAATAAATTTAACAATATTTTTATTTATATTTAAATCTAAACTTTTTAATAATTTATATATAAAATTTAATTTTATTAACTTTAAGATACTACCTTTATTATTATATTTTAGAATAATTTTATCTTTAATAGTCTTTTTTTTTTAAATGATAAGATTTTAAGTTAATTTTAAAACTTTAAACTTTCAAAGTTTAATATATAAAAAATTTATTTTATAAATCTTATATTTTAATTTTTTTTTTAAAATTACTTTAAATTTGCAATTTAATATTTTAATTTAAACTATAAAATAATATTTAAATTAAATTTAGTGTTAGAAAATATATTATTTTCATAAATAAATTTACAATTTATTACTTTATTCAGACATAACACTAATATATATTATAAAATTAGTATCATATATGAATAAATGATTATATTCAACAAATCATAAAGATATCGGTATTCTTTACTTCTTATTTGCAATTTGAGCAGGAATAATTGGGTCCTCAATAAGTATAATTATTCGTTTAGAATT